ATCACTCCAAACATGCCGTGTGGCAGCTCATTCTTTATGGTTTTTCATGAATAGGTTTTCCATAAACTTCAAATGAATCATTGACCACATTGACCGCTCTTGGAATCACGGGATACCCCCGAAGAATCCTGTAGCAGGGGTCAATTGTATTTTTACACCAATACATGCCGTGCGACAGCTTTTTCTGCAAGCTTTTCATGAATAGGCATGATAAACTTTAAATGGATTAGTAACCACATTGGCCGCTCACGGGACCTCCGGTATGGCCCCGGGGGAATCTGTAGCAGGGGACAATTGGATTGTTACAGCAAAACATGCCGTGTGACAGCTCATTCTTCATGGTTTTTCATGAATAGGCATTCATTAAACTTCAAATGGACCAGTGACCACATTGGCAGCTCTCGGAATCACTGGATACCCCCTAGGGAACTTGTAGCAGGAGTCAATTGCATTTTTACTCAAAAACATGCCGTGTGACAGCTTTTTCTTCATGGATTTTTTATGAATATCCTTTCTATAGACTTAAAGTGAAACATTGACCACATTGGCCGTTCCGGAGACAGTGGAATCCCCCGGGGGAACCTGTAGTAGGCTGCAATCACATTTTTGCACAAAACAAAGCCATTGGGGAGCTCATTCTGGAACCAGGAGATGCCCCAGGATAACATGTAAAAGGAAAATTGTATTTTCCATTCACAATTCCGTTCAACAGCTCGAACTATCTGAAGTCTTGAAATGGACAATTGACTACTAGCTGTAGATGGGGAGGTTAGGTCTTTAAACTCTGGTTGTAGACCAATAAAAGTCTCTCTCTTGTATTAATGTAAGGTGCAGCAAGAGCACAACAACAACTCTTTAATGAACAAAATAACTGTCGACGTCAGCTCTGGAGATGTTCGCCAGCACGAAGGAGGCTCATTTATGGTATGGGGTGCCATATCATGGCACTCAGTTGGACCAATCATTGCCATGAAAGGAAAGATCACTGCTAAAGATTATGACCAAGTTTTGGAATATCTCCGGTATCCGGTGACCAGGATTATATTAGTTTTCCAGTTAAATGCTCTTAGAAGATTTAAAATAGGATTACATTTGACAAAGTTACAACACTCCAAAGTTGACCAAAAATGTGCCTATCCTAGTTATTTTGAGTAACCCCTATACATGATGAGAATATAGTAAATTACTATTTTGATTTCGTTTGACATGTGGAAGTTTTTGCTCAGGATACTTGATTAGGTGAGTGATTTAACCGGCTATAATATTCGTTTTTATTGGTATTGAATGAACGATTTAAAAAAAAAAAACAAAAGATTAACATATGACACAAAACGATTAGATGGTCGGAGTGCAAAAGCAGATAAGTACGGAAAGTACTTAATTCAGATATCCCAAAACTCTTCCGAGAGGGATCCCAAGAAAGCTAATTGAGCGATGCGTTTTGCATTGAACCGATATCGATTATGTGTGGTTTCACTAGTTTTGAAGAATAGCCTCTCTGACAGAACACTTGTTACCATTCTTCTTAAATAGTCTCGAGCAATGGGGTATGCATGGGGATATACACTACGCATTTTCTCCCATGCTCGAAAAGGATCGACAGAAGGTGGGAAAACAGGCTGATGCAAGAAAATTTGTAATTCTGCCGATATGCCCCCATGGCGATCCCGTTCTGACATAGCAGATGACTGATGAACCTGAAATATGTCATAAGAAGTAGTAATCCTTTACAGAGTTGCGACCTATCACAATCACGATTGCCAAACAGCTGATGGTAGTAACGCTTTGTACATTCCTATCGATGTGCTCGTCGAAGCTCTCTCCATGACCATCCAACAAGTTGACGAAAGAAGTAAAAAGCAACTGGTGAATGTCGTCTTTGGTTGTAATCCATCACCGATCTGGTCATTCCAGACAATCACGACACTCATCTGTGCTCGTTTTGAAGCAGTTGCTGCTTTGCTTGCTAATGTGAGTGTGTTGGTGAGTGTGCCCAACAGCTTCCGTTTAATGTTGCCTGCTTTGTTTGTAACTCACACAGTCGTGCTCGTCGAGACGAACTTGGAATGTGTAGGCATTGTTTTCATTTTCTTCTGTCGTTTCGCTTTTTCTCTTGATCGTACTGCAGAAGTCTTCACTGTTTTCGTTGTGCTTTTCATCATCAGCAGCGAGTGTAACGTATTGCTTGTGAGCAGCGACCATTATTGGTGATTGTTGTTTGCCATGGCTCTAACTCTCACTGCGTGACAAAACGATCTGTCAGCGATAGTCGGTTGATGCGTAGACGAGAGTCACGTGAGAGTCATGATATTTTGCATCACTGATCCTTTATATAAAGATTCGCGGAAGCGGACATTTTGAGTCAATCGAGCAGCGAGAACTGTCAAAATGTGAGCCAAACGAGCATTCTGATAAGAAAATATTTAGAGGATTTGTTATTAAGTTAGAAAGTATTGTAATCGGGGTGAAATAAATTCAAATAAAACGTTTATAAATAAAAAAATGTAGCGGTAAAACGCTTATGTTAACATTAGAGAGTTTCAAGCATAATTAACAATTATATAATAAATTGTGAATGGATATTTTTTTGATTGATTTTTCAGTTCAGACAATATAAATAAAACTGTACGCTGTTTTTTGAATACATCTAAATTCTTTAGCAAAACACAATTGCGTGTGCTCGAAGTGGTACTGGAAGAAGCATTAAATTTTAACTAGATATCTCCAAATAATTACCACTGTAACATACACTGCACAAATGCATAGATTCCACTAGGGAAAATTCGACGGTATTCCTCCAAACTCTAGCCATTTTTTGCGAAGTTCAGCGTTTTTCGGAAACCGGAAAAAAAACTCACATTGTTACACTTCCATGACCGGTCAAGGCAAAACTTTTCAAAAATTGTAACGTAACAACGTTAACAAACTAACTCGTATCGTAGATAACGATGAAGTCACGCACCAAGCTGGAACATTTTCCTCCACGGCAAGTGTTGGCAGCTTTTGTAAACATAACACATCACGTTGCCAAATCGTCTCATAATAGTTCCGCGAATCTCTATATATAGGATTACTAATAAGAAGTGAATGTTTCTACTGAACTGTCACATTGGTTGTTTGCAGAATCCATGTTCAAGGCAAGTGATGTGTAAAGGTGAAGACAAAAAATTGCAAATGCAAATGCATTGAACTTTTTTTGGATCGAAACAAAAATCAAATGTTATGGATCGATCCAATCGATTTTTGTCGTGTTTGAGATCGATTCAAAAAATCGATTAATCGAACCAAAAGAATCGATCTTTTGTGTTTCGATCCAAGATCGCCCATTGCTAAGCAACATTCAAGTTAAACCATTGGAAAATTATTTTTAATATAGAACAACAAGCATCCCGCATAGTAGTTTGCTTGTCGAGAGAATAATACCGATACTGGAACGAATTTGCCAAGATCGTTGTTGCTGCTCTCTACGCTGATGGACGATGGAATGGCAGGTGTAATCAGATGAAAAATGACAGCTCGCTTTCACGACTAGCCGATCCCGATTTCCGATTTTTTGGATCGATTCTTTGCCACGAAAAAATCGATCTCAGAAAAAAATAGGAGTTAAATTTTGTAATTGTATTGACATCGAAAAAACAATTTACTCCCACTGCATGGTAAATTTAACGAACATAACTTCAACATCAGCATCTCTCCCTATAATGACGTCACTAATTGCGTTTCCGATATTTACGAATACAGAAACATTTGAAGGTTTTCGCTACCTCCCTCCTGTGCTCATTGCTCCTTACCGTCACGACAACATTTAATTGAATATTGGCGAATCAAAGCAAAGCCAAAACTGGTCATGCGACACCTAGTTTTAAGATCCGCAATTACAAAAATGATTATGTACTAAAAAAATGTTATGCAATTTGAAAGATACTACCATACGTCATTACCATTTTCACCAACTCGCCATCTAAGGAGTCAATCGCCACTTTGATTCTTCAATTATAAAGGAAATAATTTCTTGGGGTACAAGCGTATAGACCATTCTATATGCAAGAGTATTGTTGGTCCGAAAGTGAGGATAACAATAACAACATTTTTGGCTAGAGCGAAAGTGAGGATAGCAAACTAAGCACTTGAAAATGGGATTTCGCAAGTGTGCAAGGTATAAACCTCAGAAAGATCAATTAAAATTAAAAGTATAAGATCGATCTACCAAAGATCGATTCTTTGGTACCGATTTAATCAGTGGATCGATTCTAGAGCCAAATATAAGATCGATCCGTCAAGATCGATTTTTCTCAGAAGATCGCCCCAACAACAATGTTTTTTGACACATGCGCTGCGCAGGCGCAGAGATAGAACAGTGTTGCCAGTAGCTTTGAAGATCATGAAAATTTCTAGTCATGGGTGCCAATGAGTGTACCCAGGTGTGCCCAACTGTGGTTGTGGTCAGGTATGGAAAATCATTTGCATTCATTTCGTGCATTCCTTTACATTCATTTGCCTCTAACTTTTTTTCTTAAACAGCATTCCGCTAAATGATGTATAGAGCTTTTGTAGGTTTTGTGATTAACTACAACTTTTGTTAACAAGTCAAATCCGTATCTCTTATGCATGGCAAAGCAGAGCGAACAGAAGCCGCTACTGTTTTTCAGTGAATGTATTTTACATTCACTGAAAAACAGTAACAAATTCTGCCCGCTCTAGTTCGTGATGTATAAGAGATACAGATTTGAGTTACGAGCAAAACTTGTAGCTAATAACAAAACCTACAAAAGCTCTATTCATCATTTTGCGAAATGTTGTTGATGAAAAAAGTTAGAGGCAAGTGAATGTAAATGAATGTATGAAATGAATGCAAATGATTTTCCATGCCTGGTTGTGGTACACTGTGCGGAGAGTGACCAACCCCTTGGGTAGATCGAACTCCTATGTCGAAATATTGTATCATATTCAAAGGCGAAGTACTAGATTCGAACTTACAATCATCTTTTTCTCCTTTTCAGTCCGCCCAGCGACGCATCCGGACGATGATGTTGGCCACGAACCCCCCGCCGGCCACCAACCGACAGAAAGCCCAGAAGGCGAAGGAGCAATCGTCGACCTCGTCCACGCCCGCTGCCACCGCACAGCCGCCGTCGTCCAGTACAAGCGCATAATCAAAATCTGCAATCGTCGTCGTCGCCGTCGCTGATGGCCGTCTGCTGCAATTACCAGTGCTGCCATCACCACCGTTACTAACACATCTACCAGCAGCAGCAGAAACACCTCAACAACAACAACAACAACAACTACAACTACCAACGCTATCAACTGTAACATCCGAGCTGAAACAGGTATCCCTATCAGTAGCAAAGTCAAACAATGGCCCGATCGATCGTAAGCTGTGCTTACGATTACCCTAAATTCCGAAGCAGCAGCAAGTAGACTCAAGTCAGTCAAGTCAGCTACTCTAGTACTACGGTCCGGATTGGAATATCGTGAAAAAAACAATACAAATTTTGGTTCCCCCCTCCGCACATATCTACTCCAAACCAGCGAACCCTCTCGGAAACCCCGAATCGCGTCAAAAATTGTAAAAAAATATCTACTCTCAAGCTAGAACAGCAAATTTTTCGTATAAGCACAAAAACTTCAAAATTGACATTCCCAAAAGAAAAACAAATTTATTCTGGCAAACATAGAATTCAGTAAAAAGTTTTGCTCTACTTACAGAAATTGCAACACAAGTTTTGAACTTTGATGAAGGAAAAAAAAGGAAAATCTCAACAGGAGAATGAAGCAGCAAAAAAAATGGGAAGGTGGGAGATACGAGAGAGAGAGAGAAAGAGAAGGAAATGCCCTCCGTTTAGGAGAGGGCATATTTTTATTGCATTTTTTTTGGAATCTTTTCCTAGCGGCGATTATGAAAGGAACCTATATATGGGGAAAGATCGAAGCAGAGATTCGCGAGAGCGATAATGTTTTTTTTTAACTAGTGTTTAGGAAGAGAAATGAGCGTAATTAGAGAGATAGGACGAGAGAGAGAGATCGAAAGATTTCGTTTGGCGCTCTTCTCCGGTTGAAGAGAGAGAGAGAGTAGGGAGAAGGAAGGAAGGAAGATATGAAGTGTTGCCAGTTTGCATGGCTTTCAATCGAGAAAGTGCCAAACACACTAGAAGAGAACCGTCGATTGCCTTAGATTTCGGTGCTGAATGTGAAAATCGGTATTGTAATGATGGAATGAAAGTACACAATATAGGTATTCGGTAACAAATTGCAAAGCACAGTGTGAACGAACGAGGAAAGCAGAAGGAAGCGCTTCACCGTTTCGATCAACACCGGCGACGACATCTCCAAATTCTAAGGTTCGCTAATGAAAATCAATACCTCAAAGAAAGTGCATTACACATACACCCACACAGAAACGAACGCATACAAGAAACAGACCGACACAGAGACACGCTCCCGCGGGATATTTGAGTGGAGTCGATGTCAAACAAGCGAAAGCCTACGAAACACTATTTGCTAGGGTAAGCCAATAGAAATGATCTAACGCAACGAAAGCCGCGACCCGGGTCGGACGGCTCTATTGTTTACTCTTTCCTATAAAGAGAACAAAACAAACTAACACAAGTACTAACCGAAGCAAATTTTTGCGTTTCAACTTTACTTACTCAAAGGTGCATTAATCAATTTTTATTAACTTGTTGTTGAACATACTTGTTGAAATCTATATTTCCCTAACAACTATTTTCCCCAACTCCTGCCCTCAATACACATACACACACACACTCACACAGTCAAACGTCAATACAATTCTTTATCTTACGTCACTTAACTGTTGTTTATTAGTCTTGTTTTTTTTACGTTTTTCATTGTATTAAATCTTGCTAAACAAACGATGCTGAACCCAACAATCGCAACAATAGAACAATCAAACTACATATTAACCTAATACTATACCGAATGTAACAATAGATAGGAAACGTACCTCAGCAAGCAAACAGAATCAAAATAGTTTACGCGTTGTTTTTTCCCACGCCCACAAATCCCCCCCTTTTTAGAAGAACAAGGCAGTGCTGCCAACTTTTCCAATCGTGAAAAACCAAAACCACCGCGCCTAACCTCAAGTTTAATCAACATCTCCGAAGCATTCAACTTTCATAAATAGTAGTGGCCAGGAGTTGAACTAGAGAGATAGAGACATTTGTAGTCGAAGACAGACAGACAGACAGACGACAGCTAGTTTAGTAGTACTCAAAAATGAAACTTTCTTTGGCAAAGATGGACATTTTAGGCTTTCGAATGGTTAGAAAAACAAACACAACCACACACACACACACACAAGCACACACTCGCAAGACAATTTTCGCCGATGAGACGCAGAGGGCGAACGAAGGAGAAAAGAAGCACAAACAACCAACCGTGGAGTAGCAGGCAGAAGGAAACCAAAATTTCGGACGTAGGAAACAGCTGACGACAGCCGGAAAACAACTTGCGAAGCGATCAAAATTCAAAATTTTCTCCAAATTGACACGGAAACAAACAAACCAAGCAACCCAAGAGCTGAACTGAAATTCAATGATGGATCAATCAAAGCAACCAGTGACTCAGAAAAAAAAACACATACACAGACAGAGACACACACATACGCACACGCACCCGTCGTCTATATGTTCGCATGTTTTTGATGCGAAGCATGGCGGTTGCGTGTGCAATTATTGTCGGGGGTAAACAAACAAACTCAAATCGGAAACACTGTAAAAGAAAAAAAAAAAACAAAAACAAAAAAGTCGAGAGTGAAAATGAAACCACGTGAAGTTTACCTAAATTAAGACGTAAGAGAAAAATAAGGGAAAACAAAGTTTAAACTCGAAACGCTGAGAGAAAGAGAGAAAGCGATAGAGGGAAGCAAAATTCGGAGAAAAAGTGACTAAAATCAATTGTTAGATTTTTTTTATTATATATATTATATTGAAAATATACTATATATATTTAAAAGGGAAAAGTAAAAAAGAGAAAAAGAAGAAAAAAGATATTTAGCTAACAAATTTAATATTTATTAAATCCTAGAGGCTATAATATCGTTGAATATTTGTATAAAAACAAACGAACCTTGACGAGAGGAAGGTAAACAGAAAGAGAGAGAGAGAGATAAAGGAAAAAAGGGTCTAAAAATGGTCAAAATTTGAATTTAACTTAAGAAGTAAACATATTATTTTCCTATTATTTTTGTTTATTTTCGTAATAATTTTTGTTTAGGTTTTGTTGTTTACTTTTCGTGTAAAAAAAAAAACAAGGAAAAACAATCGCACCCAGTCGCGATTTGAGGTTAATGCGTTATTTAGTTGTGCCAAGTACGTCGAACGAATGGATTTTGTTTTAAATGAAGATTATGAAAAAGAAGAAGAAGATGAAGAAAAAGATGGGTTGTGATACGAGCGCAGGAAAACAAAACAGAATGACAGTTGCAAAACCGAAAACGCCCGCCGGAGCGGAGCCGCGTCAGAGAGAATGGGCGTGCAAGCGACATTTTTGACATTTCTTCAGACAGGCGTGCTTCGCCGCCGCCGCCGTCCCCCATACTACTTGGATCAGTAGCCGATGGTTTTTTCTCGATTAGGTTTTGTTTTTATAAACAAGCACTATGACAGCTAGGTGGAACGAAACGGAATCTTTCATATCAAACTACTGTACCGGATTCCTTCCTTCGGAAGGAACGGATGGAAAATGAACTCTCTCACACGTACACATACGAATACACACACAAACACACAGTCACACTCACACACACACACACAAACACACTGTTCGGTAGTGTCATCAATGACATTTTTCCTTTGTCTAATTTATTTCTGTCAAACTTGTTTTCGATGAAAAATGACAACACCTATACACAAACGCTGAAAACTGGAGCAGAGTTTTTTTCGGTACAAATTGAAAAAGTACAAACAAACCGACGATGATGATAATGAATGATAAACAAACAAACAAACAATCAAAAAACAATGGAAAATGACAGTTCGTTTTGAAGCGCAACCGGTTTTTACGTTCGATGATTTTCTTAAGAAAAAAACGGACAACAACAACAACAATTGGCAACAACAGCAAAAACAGCAGCAGCAGCAGCAACCATCTGATTAACAGAAACAAGCAAAGACCAAGGAAGGAAATAAACAACAAAACATATAGCCACTAATTTGGATGAAAACAGCAAAAAAAACAACAACAACAGCAAAAATCTAACAATGATGATAGCGAATGATTATTCCCCGAACAATAACATAAGAAGAACAACAACAACAACAACAACAACAGCCCGATTGAAGAAAAAACGGAAGAAGAAGAAAAAGATAAAAGTCACTTTAAATCCCGTCAAAACAATGTAAACAAACGCAAAACTTTGGCATTAACAGCAAAACAAAAACAACACCCCGGAATACACCGGAATGGCAAGAACCAAAATTGTCTAATCACTCACTTCACACGCAACGTTTGGAGCCAATAGAAGTACATATATAAACAAATGTTAAATACCCCATCCCACTTTTGGAGAAGACAAAAGAACAAGAGCATTTCCACGCCAGGGGGACGAATCGATCAGACGCGCGCGCGCGGCACTTTCTCCAGCTTGTGGCGGGCAGTCCGAAATGGCGTATTCGATGTTGGTCGGGGGGGGGGGGGGATGAGCTGTCAAATCAGCCTACTGTATGGAATTGGTTCCAAACGTTGTTTACGATTGGAGCCCGCCATACGAGGTAGGCGCCGATTGTTCGTATTTGACAGTCACGTCCCACACCGCTGGTCATTTATTCAACATCATTGACAACATGGTGGGTATACAAATGGTGATACAGCTTTGTCACTATATAGGCGAGGAGGTCGCGGGGGGGGAAAAATGCGGTTTTAGAGCAAATTGTAAACAAACTCGGTCGCTGTCCCATACAAAAATCTAACATGGCTGAATCACGAATTTGACACATAAGAACACCTATATGTAGTCACCTTGATTGACAAATCTCTGGTAATCATGATATGTTGATCTTTACCAAAAACGCAAATGAAAAATAGAGACCTACTGCGACGGGATCTGCCATGATTGCAGCGAAGAAAACAGCATTAGCATGAAATGACCTCTGTTCTCAACCGAACTGACAAATAAAGGAAAGAAGAAGAACCGTAGAATCTGACTTCAGTTTTGGTTCCGTTTACTAATTTTCGTTAAAATCTTGCTCCACTGCATGGCCAACGAGAATAACTCAGAGAGAGAGTCACTTCTACTCAGAGGTATGGAGAATGGTCTAAAAATTGCAGGAACTCAGCGCTGTAAGATATATTTCATTTCAGGATCTTAATCATTAATGTATGCGATCAGAGATCATTGAAAAAGTAATTGTAATCTGATGAGTCGATGATCTCCATTCTGGTCCGGATTTTTTTTTTTACGAATTAGGATCAGATTACCCGCTACTAGAGTTAACAAAATTCAAATTTGTGGGAAAGTACCAAAATACGGCCGCTGAAGCTAACGCGAAGCTGCTTAAAAATTTGTTGAAGTTTGTTCTCCAAAAATGAGTAACATTTACCTATTTTTTAGTCAAATTTCTTCTATTTTTTTAATAGTTCAATTTTTAATGAAAATAAGGGAACTCGAAACGTCGAACTTGTTTGAAGTATTCAGAATTCCTCTGAAGTGGCCAAAACGTTTCTGAAGTTCACAGAAGTTATTCGAAATTTCCCAGAACTTCCCCAAAGCTAAAAAATCACGGAAGTGTCCAAAACTTCTTTGGAGATCTCAGAACTTCTTCAAGAGTGTCCAGAACTTCTTCAAAGCGCCTGAAATTTATCTGGAATGCCCAAATCTTCTTCAATGAAATCTATTGAAAGCTATCGGAACTTACCATAATAGGTCTTCAAACTTCCGTTCCGGAATTACCCTAAAGTTTAAATTCTTAGAATTTCCATGAGATTCTCAGAATTTCCCGCAATTTTTCAGATACTAATGGAACGTCTTTTAAAATTTTCTATAAGTTCTGACGCACATGGAACTCGTAATTTCGTTTAAGGTCTCTGGACTGTGTTCTTGGAACATCTGTAAAGTTCTTACAATGCTTGCAGTAGTTCAACGAACGTACCTGAAGTTATCGGTTTAGGGACAAAAGGTCGAAAGACAAAAGGTCTAAAGGGACAAATGGTCGAAAGGACAAAAGGTCAAAATACTTTTTATAAAGAAAATCATATTTCGATTTTTTGTCATAGATTCCATGTTCTTCCAGAGGTTTTCGGGATTTCCCTCATGTTTCCACAACTGTCCGGACATTCATGGAACTGCCCTGAACACTCTTGAAACTTTCCTAAATATCTTTAAACTTGCGTGAACCGTTCTGAAGTTCTTGGGAAGCTCCTGAAATGTTCTTGATGTTGTCCTGAAGTTCTCTGATCTTCATCTAAGTTCATGCAATTTTATTGAAATGCATGGATCTGCATTGATGTTTGCACAATTTACCCGTAAGGTTCTGTAAACTTCCCCAAAGTTCTGGACTTTCCTGTGGTTCTTGAAGCTTTCCTGAAGTGTGTTTGAAATATCTCTAAATGTAACAGATTTTCCTGAAGTTCATGGAACATCACTATCAATTCAATATACCCTTCTTAGAAGAACACAATTTAAAAAAATATATAAGAGACCCTAAACCCTAAAGGTCCAAAGGGTCTAAAATTAAAATGGGTCTGAAGGTTTAATGGGCCTAAAGATCGAATGGGTCTAAAGGTCGAATTTTTCTAAAGGTCAAATTGATCTAAAGCTCGAATGGGTCTAAAGGTCCGATGGGTCTAGCGGTATAAAGGTTGAATGGCTCTGAAGGCTGAAAGACAAAAGGTAGAAAGGAACAAATGATCGATTTTCGATCTTTTGTTTATTCGACCTTTTGTCCTTGTATCGTTTTTAAAGCTATTTTGTCATTTCAACCCTTTTTCATTCGAACGTTTGTCCTTTCCATCTTTTATCCTTTCAACCGTTTGTCTTTCAAAATAACAACAGTTCGAATGGGTCTAAAGGCCGAATGGATGTAAAGGTCGAATTGGTCTAAAGGTCAAATGGGCCTAAACTTCGAATGGGTATAAAGGTGGAATAGGTCTAAAGCTCGAATGGGTCTAACGGTATAATGGTTGAATGGCTCTGAAGGCTGAAAGACAAAAGGTAGAAAGGAACAAATGATCGATTTTCGATCTTTTGTTCATTCAACCTTTTGTCCTTGTATCTTTTTTAAAGCTATTTTGTCATTTCAACCCTTTTTCATTCGAAAGTTTGTCCTTTCCATCTTTTATGAATGGGTCTAAAGGCCGAATGGATCTAAAGGTCGAATTGGTCTAAAGGTCGAATGGGTCTAAAGGTCGAATGGGTCTAAAAGTCGAATGGGTCTAAAAGTCGAATGGATCTAAAGGTCAAATTGGTCTAAAGCTCCAATGGATCTAAAGGTCCGATGGGTCTAGCGGTATAAAGGTTGAATGGCTCTGAAGGCTGAAAGACAAAAGGTAAAAAGGAACAAATGATCGATTTTCGATCTTTTGTTCATTCGACCTTTTGTCCATGTATCCTTTTTAAAGCTATTGTGTCATTTCAACCCCTTTTCATTCGATCGTTTGTCCTTTCCATCTTTTATCCTTTCAACCGTTTGTCTTTCAAAATAACAACAGTTCGAATGGGTCTAAAGGCCGAAGGGATCTAAAGGTCGAATAGGTCTAAATGTCGAATGTGTCTAAAATTCGAATGGGTCTGAAGGTTAAGTTGGCCTAAATGTCGAATGGATCTAAAGGTCGAATGGTTTAAAGGTCAAATGGGCCTAAAGGTCTAATTGGTCTAAAATTCGAATGGGTCTGAAGGATAAATGGGCTTAAATTTCAAATGGGTCTGAAGGTTAAATGGGCCTAAATGTCGAATGGATTTAAAGTTTGAATAGGTCTAAAGGCCGAATTTTCCTAAAGGTTAAATTGATCTAAAGCTCGAATGGGTAAAAAAGTTGAATGGGTCTAAAGGTCGAATGGGTCTAAAGGTCAAATGGGCCCAAATGTCTAATTGGTCTAAAGATCAAATGGGTCTAAAGGTTGAATGGGTCTAAAGGTCTAATTAGTCGAGAGGTCAAATGGGTCTAAAGGTAAAATGGGCCTAAATGTTGAATGGGTTTAAAGGCCGAATGAATCGAAAGGTCAAATAGGCCTAAAGTTCGAATCGGTCTAAAGGTCGAATAGGTCTAAAGATCGATTTTTTTTCTAAAGGTCGAATAGGTCTAAAGCTCGAATGGGTCTAACGGTATAATGGTTGAATGGCTCTGAAGGCTGAAAGACAAAAGGTAAAAAGGAACAAATGATCGATTTTCGATCTTTTGTTCATTCGACCTTTTGTCCATGTATCCTTTTTAAAGCTATTTTGTCATTTCAACCCTTTTTCCTTCGAACGTTTGTCCTTTTCATCTTTTATCCTTTCAACCGTTTGTCTTTCAAAATAACAACAGTTCGAATGGGTCTAAAGGCCGAATGGGTCTAAAAGTTGAATGGGTCTAAAGGTCAAATGGGCCTAAAGGTCGAATGGGTCTAAAGGTCGAATGGTTTAAAGGTCAAATGGGCCTAAAGGTCTAATTGGTCTAAAATTCGAATGGGTCTGAAGGATAAATGGGCTTAAATTTCAAATGGGTCTGAAGGTTAAATGGGCCTAAATGTCGAATGGATCTAAAGTTTGAATAGGTCTAAAGGTCGAATTTTTCTAAAAGTTAAATTGATCTAAAGCTCGAATGGGTAAAAAAGTTGAATGGGTCTAAAGGTCGAATGGGACTAAAGGTCAAATGGGCCTAAAGGTCTAATTGGTCTAAAGATCAAATGGGTCTAAATGTTGAATGGGTCTAAAGGTCTAATTGGTCTAGAGGTCAAATGGGTCTAAAGGTAAAATGGGCCTAAAGGTTGAATGGGTTTAAAGGCCGAATGAATCGAAAGGTCAAATAGGCCTAAAAGTCGAATGGGTCTAAAGGTCGAATAGGTCTAAAGATCGAATTTTTCTAAAGCTCGAATGGGTCTAAAGGTCCGATGGGTCTAGCGGTATAAAGGTTGAATGGCTCTGAAGGCTGAAAGACAAAAGGTAAAAAGGAACAAATGATCGATCAAATGGGCCTAAAGGTAAAATGGGCCTAAAGGTTTTATGGGTTCAAAGGCCGAATGAATCTAAAGGTCAAATAGGCCTAAAAGCCGAATGGGTCTAAAGTTTTGATTGGTCTAAAGGTTTAATGGGCCTAAAGGTCAAAAGGCTTTAAAGTAGAATGAGTCTTAAGGCCGAATGAATCTAAAGGTCAAATGGGCCTAAAGGTTAAATAGCTCTAAAGGTTGAATGGGTTTAAAGGTCAAAAGACAAAAGGTACAGGCTGAGACTGTATTTTAATGACTTCAAACAAGTTCGCAAAAGGAGAATGTAATTTTTTACTATTTGCCTTTCTTTCAAAGCTGCTCGACTTTTAAAACTGGGGTTTAAGGTGACCCTGCACTTTTGCAGATACATTTCACGTGTGACCATTATTGCACAAAGAAATTGGTCATCATTTGTAGATTTGTACATCAATTCAGTATACTCTTCTTAGAAGCATACAAATTAAAAAAAATAAGAATAATGTTTTTGATCTTTCAACCTTTTGTTCATTCGACTATTTGTTCATTCGACCTTTTGTTTTGTTGCTACAACCCTTTGTCCTTCCCATCATTGACCTTTAGTCTTTCGAAAGGACAACAGTTCGAATGGGTCCAAAGGCCGAGTGGGTCTAAGGGCCAAATGGGCCTAAAAGTCAAATGAGTCTAAAGCTCAAAGGTCCTAAAGGTCGAATGGGTCTAAATATTGAACGGGTCAACAATTCGAATGGGTCTAATGGTTCTAAAGGTCGAATCGTTCTAAAGGTCGAATGGTTCTAAAAGGTCGAATGGGCCTAAAATTCTCATGGGTCTAATGGATCTTAAGGTCAAATGAGCCTACACACTTGGAAATGATTACCGTCTTCGGTACTTTTTACCGAACTGTTCGGTAAAAATCAACCATTCAATTCATTAGTTTTAAGGCTTCAAAACACGGAAAACTTCACCACAATGGCAAGACTCGACTATCTAAACTAGGCTGGCAGTGTTTTGACATTAAAATCAAGTGAAACAGCTTTTGAAATGAGGGTCAAAGTTTTACCGAACGCTGTAAAGCGGTTGAAAGTTCGGTAAAAAATTACCAAAGTCTACGTGTTTAAAGGTTGAATGGGTTTAACGGGTCAATGGATCTAAAGGCCGAATGGGTCTAAAGGTCGAATGGGTCTGAAGGCCTAAAAGGTCGAATGGGTCTAAAGGTCCAATGGGTCTAACGTTTGAATGGAATGGAAATATCGAAAAAGACAAAAGGTCGAAACTTCAAAAGCTGATGGAAACATTCTGAAACTGAAATTTCATGACTTCAAATCAGTTGTCAAATGGAAAGGAATGAGTCTAAAGGTTGAATGGGTTTAAAGGTCGAAAAAGACGAAAGGGACAAAAGGTTGGAATTTCAAAAGCTGATGATTTGATTTTCAGGTAGCTTTACAGGACAATCTTTCTTCAAAATGAAAAATCCAGAACTTTCTACCTTTCGTCCTTTCACCCCCTTGAGCCTTTTATCATTTCACCCTTTTGTCCCATTCGATAGTTTGTCTTTTCGACATTTCGTCTTTCGAACTGTTGTCATTGATTCATCGGAATCTATGACAAAATGTCAAAAGAACAAAAGGTCGAATGGACAAATGGTCGAATGGACAAAAGGTTGAAAGGATAAAAACAATTTGAAAGGACAAAAGGTCGCAAGACAAAGAGTAGTTCCACGTCAAATGACACATGAGAAGAACTCGTCCGGCTTCGGTTGGCATGAAACTGTTTATAATTGTTTGGTACGAAAGGACAACAGTTCGAATGGGTCTAAAGGTTGCATGGGTTTAACGGTTCAATGGATCTAAAGGCCGAATGGGCCTTAAGGTCAAATGGATCTAAAGGTCGGATAGGTCTGAAGCTGATGGAAACGTTCTGAAACTGAAATTTCATTACTTCAAACCAGTTTTCAAAAGGAAAGGAATGGGTCTAAAGGTTGAATGGGTATGAAGGTCTAAAGGGACAGGTCGAATGGGTCTAAAGGTCATCTAAAGGCCAATGGTATGTATGAATGTAAAGAAAACCACTCATTGTTGCAGGCACAACCATTAGACAGTGGCCTGTCCTCCTCTTACGACTTGATCAAGTACAACACCTGATTGCATTCAATTCACCTTTGTATGAAGGGCCAAACACGAAGGGCGAACCCGTAAGCAGAGACACTTACCCTTAGTCCGCGGGATTAAGGAGAATCTCCTTCCAAAGGTCATCTAAAGGCCTAATGGGCCTAAAGGTCAAATGGGTCTAAAGTTCGAATGCGTCTAAAGGGAATAAAGGTCAAAAGGGACAAAAGGTTGAAATTTCAAAAGCTGATGTTCCGATGGCTTCAAACCAGTCTTCAAATGGAAAATGTGACATCAGACTGTTTTCCCGTCTAAGAAAGCAGAACGTTCTTTAAAATTTGAATTTCAGGTAACTTTGCAGGACAATCTTTCTTCAGAATGAAAAATCCAGCCCTTTCGACCTTTAGTCCTTTCAACAATTTGCTTTTTCGAGCCTTTTATCATTTCACCCTTTTGTCCCATCCGATAGTTTGTCTTTTCGACATTTCGTCTTTCGAACTTTTGTCATTGATTCATTGACAAAATGTCAAAAGGACAAAAGGTCGAATGGATAAAAGGTCGAAAGACAAAGACTAGTTCCACGCCAAATGACGAATCGGAAGAACTGGTCCGGCTTCGGTTGGCATGAAACTTTTATAATTTTACAAGATCGAAAAAGGGCAGAATTTTGGCAAAAATGTGAACCATTGCCCATAACAAACAATGGCACATAGTTTCATACAAGTCGGAGAAGGTCGAATCAAATTATAAGTTATTTTTTTCGCTATTTGGCCTGGAACTGCTCAAAAGGTTGAAATCATTGAACGTTTATTTGGAAGGCTCAATCGCGTTAGCTTTACGGAGTCGATAATTCATTGTTTTCAACAAAATTCACTTATGTCAATGTCCAGAAGGAGTCACCCGAGGTTAGAGGGGTACATTGTCGATGGATAGGGTCAGGGAATGAGCTTTGGGGGTGGTCAGATAAAGAGTAGTTTTTAAAGAAGTGAAAGTCATATAAAATCATATTTCTCTTCTGAGTTTTCAGTTTCAGAATATTAACATCAGCTTTTGGCCCTTCGAGTTTTTGATCCTTTCGACCTTTTGTCCCTTTGGACCTTCTATTTTTTTTCCTTGATTTGTTTTCCATACTGACTACCAATGCTACCGACGCAAGGGAAGCAGGCTTGCTATCGACCCATCAACTCATGGACACTTTAGGGATCAACGACTTCACTTCCATCGGAGATCAGTGATCAAAGAGTTTTGCCTCAGAAAATTTCGACGACGCCGACTAGGATTGAACTCAGGCCCTTTGGAGTGAGAGGCATTCACGCTTACCACTACACCATCGGCGTCGTTCGTTCGACCTTTTGTCCCTAAACCGATTCATCATAGACCATTTTGTGCGCAAAAATTGCATATGTTTTGTACTGAACTATACAGCACTGACAAACAGACGTACCTCTTTGTCGTCAACCGTCGTACACGCATTTAACGTTCAATTTAAATATTATTACTTGCTTTAATCTCTCACTGCAGCGCTGGTATCGGATCACGTTGACGTTTTTCATAACAAATCGCTGTCAAACTCATGTTGGCAGATCTAAATTCAAACATTTCTAGATAGAGCTGGAATTAGGGCATAACAGCTTTTGTAAACAATGACTTCTATCGTTGATTTCTAGATACTCCAGGCACTCCTACACAAACCAGCATATCCATCGGATAGGGGAAGTCTTCCCCCACTCGATGGTGATGTCGGTTTGCCAGGGAGAGCCATGAATTTCGAGAAATCATCGTTACGCCCTAATTTCAGCTCTATCTAGATTTGTTAGGTTAGTCAGAGGAAAATAATAAACAACTTTACATGGCGATGCACCCGCTTTTGGGCGTGCGATAAACGTCACTAATGTTTATAAATTCTGTCGAACTTGTATGCAACATTGATTGCAACTTGGCAAGCAGGCGTTTTTACACGAATAACTCACGAGATGTCGTTAGTGAGTTCCGTGACGATAAGCAAAATTTATGTTAAGAGTTACGTCTGTTAGTCTGTGCATACAGTTTCATTTTTTCATCAGATTAAAAATGTTTAAATCTTCACAGAAAAATTGAAAAGTGAGCTTTTTTTAATAAGCTTTTTAAGCAAAACTTACAAAAGGGGTCATATTTTGATATGTAAGATTTTTGCAAAATTATCAAAGGAAATTCGCAATGTATATTTTTTTTCTCTGGAACGTCCACCAATTTTCCTTAGACTTAGATCCCAGACGTCATTTAGGGCTGCGTTCCATTTGACTAATTTTCACTTAAATTTGACAGATGGAAAAAAAAAATTAATTCTGACACTCCAGGAAACAAATTTGACAAACACCTTCTCGAAAATTGGACGACCAATTTATTTTCGAAGTGTCGAATTTAAGTGAAAATTCACCAAATGGAATAACATTTTCTGTGCTATGATGTACTGAAAGTCATCGAATATGCCATTTTGAAAAGTGAGGAGCGAGTCCAGAACAAACTCGAATGATTGCCTAAAAGTTTCACGGAAATCGGAGAGTCGATCGCGTCTGATATTCGTTTCTCTTTATTGCTGGAAGTGCTCAAAACGGAAAAAGAGCATAATTGTAGCAAAAAGTTTCGGACTTTAATTTGCACTCACACACACATCTTTAGATTTAACTATTAAACATACAAAAATACACGCTTTTGGCATTATATAAAGAAAACAAACTGAACATTTCGCATCTCTATATGAACAAAAAATTTAAAACGGAAATCTGAGGAACACCCACAAAAACGATAACAATTATAACCAGCAGCAGCAGCAAAGTAGACAAGGTGATCGCATAAAAAAAATACATAAACATAAACAAAGCATTTCGTTTCCAAATCTGTAGTCGCTAAAATTAGATGGATTGAAACATAACATAGAAGAAGAAGATGAAAAAAAAAACATTGGTAAGAACAAAAATCTTAATAAGCAAAAAAATACATAGTAGCATTAATTTTAGATTACCTAACCCTCAAATAAGGCAAAATTATCGCATACAAAATTGATGGAAAAAATAACCAAAAAAAAAAAGAATAAAAATACACGATCATATAATTGGTAGCTGGTAGGAATAATTTTTGGCAACACTGCGCCCGAAGGCGAAAAATGTTTAAGCAAAATGCAAATGTCACTCACCAGCGCAGCGCGCAACGAAACAAACAAACAAACACACACACACGATTGCTTAGATTGAAATCGGGAAAAAACGTCAAAAAGAGGTCACCTTGTCAACTTGATGTTCTACTACTGCAGCAACTACTACTACCATTACTACTACTGCATGCATACCAGCGAAAGAAAGATCCGGTTTCCTCGCTTCTCAGTAAATTGATGAAAAAATTAATGCATAAATTTGAATCATAACCTAAAGAGTTACACCCAAAAAAAAAAAAAGAACACACTCATACATATTATATTCGATTTGAACAAAACAAAAACATAATAGAAAACGTTTGATGAAATAGATAAATGGATGAAACATTCTTACCTCATATATTGATGATATAAAAAAAAAACCCCGAAAGGAAAACATATTTAGGATTAAAACGCATGTAATTTGGATCATAACAAAGCAAAACGAAAAATTCTTACTCTGTAAAAAATTGTATTTTATAAACAAACAAACGAACCCACACAGACATACACATACACACACACACAAACAGACCGCACCCAGGTTTGGCTGATTTGACGTTTTTCGGTTTCTTTTCGCTGCAGCAGCAAAATGTAAACAAACAAATAACCCCCCTCCTTTGATTTGCCTATGTAGGAGGGTGTCACAATACGGAAAACCACCGGAAAGTCTTGACTTTTGTTTAGTCTTTTGTTTGGTTTTAAATTGGGAAGGAGGCGAAAAGAAGCTCTATCGATAACGCAAAACTTGGAAAACATTTGGACAAAACCTGCCTCCCCCTCCCCCCTCAGTAATAATATAAAAAAAACGAATGAAAAAGAAATATTTGACACGGAAAAAAAAACATGGATTTAGATTTGATTATTAATACTACTACTACTACTTCTACTACTACTACTACTACTACTATTTAATGCTACTACTACTACTACTTCTACTACTACTAAAACTACTACTACTAAAAAGCGAAGAAGTAAATCATGAATTCTACAAACTATTTTTCGTTCTTTTAAGAAGTACATTTCTTAACTAATTTCGTTTAATTTGAAATAGAACTGTAAGGCTTTTTGAAGGAAGAAGAAGAAGAAGAAGGAAAAAACTATATAATGAAATAAAACTAAATTATAAAACTAAATGGAAGGGAAATGCATCGATTATCGAAGGAAGAAAAAAAAACCACTAAAGCTAAAGCAAAGCGTAAATTTTAAGTTTAGGTAAAAGAGTACAAGTAAAACAAAGCTAGCATCGGAAGGACGCACTCACACACACCCAAACACAACACCCACACATCGTATATTGCGCTCTTTTGTTTACGTTCACGGACACACAGCAAAACAAACAAACAAACAAACAGCAGCGCCATTCGCTCCTTTGACGGCCTTTTCGGGAACCATCGAGAAGCAAGAGAGAGAGAAAACAAAATCTAGATAAACATTTCAAAAGGTCCTATCTGACATTTGTAAACAAATCGAGTTTAATGCTTCTCTGTGCTGCAGAGCTCACCATCTCTAAGTATTGTTCTAGAAATTTTAATTATCAATATTCAGAAAATTATAAAAATATGTGAAAAAAACGTCCAATTTGAAAGTTTTTATAATATCGCACAGCTCTCTGATTGGACCTTAAACATGTTTACAGTCCAATCTGTCATTCAACAAAAAAAAAATACAAATGCTATTAGGACCTTTGTTTCATCTCGTGTTTCACGTGGAATAGAAAAACTAAAACTCATAATAGTTAGTTGGAAATGCTATACTAATATGAACATGAAGTTTTAGAAATTCCTATGGATCCAACATCTAACTGGGAAGTGGGATATGAGAAAGTTTCATTTACGATGCCTGTAATCAATCGCTCTGCTTCTGGTATGGAGTTGACGAATTAATTGCGATTCCAGGAGTACACCAAGGCAAAAGCTAATTCAAAATTCTGTCAAATCCGACATGCGATATTACAAGCGTGAATTTGGACGAGGATTTCGATACAATTGCGGATCAACCACTTGAATTGCCAAGTGCTAAATTGGACGATTTACGCAAACTGATGCCATATGTCAAGCAAAAAGATTATTTTGCAACATTGCAACAGAAAAAAAAACAGGAAGAAGAACAATAATACGGTTGTAGACCACTTTGATGTGGATCTCAATCCACTGGAGGACAGCGATGTAGATTTGATCGAATAACATGAATGAATGTAAATTATTGATGAACAGCTTGAGCTAATAAATGTAAAACGAATGATGTAGAATGAAAAAACAGAGTTTGTTTATAAAAATATACCGAATATTAAAAAATATGCAAATTTTCCATACACTTACATTTTTCCTGCATACATCAGAAAAAAATAATGGACAAGTTCTTATTATAAACGTAGTTTACTTAATAAATTGGCAAAATAGTAATTTTAAGCCCATCAACAATTACAAATAATGATGTAGTTGTAATTATCTGACCTCTAAACCGTATTCTTACCAAGGTCCTAAGTAACATTAACTTTGCAATCAGACCAATTTGACAGGTCCTAACTGATACAGAAAAAAGCCAAAGGTCCTATGTAACAAAACCACGAATTAAACCTGAAAATTATGAATAAAACGAAGAAACATACACTTCAGTCGAATTCTATGTGTTTCCTATGCATTTGAGAATACAAAAGATTATCGTTTTATGTCGTAATTAAAAAAGGCATTTAAAAATATATTGCAAAAGTTCAAATCAATTTTTCTCCAATCAGCTTCAATGACAGATAGGACCTTTTGAAATGTTTGTCTAGAAATATCAGAAAAACAACCAAGCAGCCTACTACTTTGGGAGCATCAGCAGAGCTGTCAAACCGGAAAAAAACACACACACACAAACACATTCATACGAACATTTTCTCTAGCGTTTAGGGTGAAATCCGCCAGGAAAACAAAACAAAAAACACACACGCACGCATTCGTTATCTTCGTTTATTTAAGAGAAAAAAATAAGTAACTTAACATCCCCAAGGATCCTTCCGTCGGTTCCGGAAGCAACGCATCAACAGAGGGAAATGCTTTGCCGGAACCGAACCGAACCGAACCGAAACCGAACTGCAACGCCACCACCAACACAAGGAGACTGAACTACAACGTAATTAAGTAGGTGGCGCTGTGGTTCCTCCCTCCCCCCCCCCTACCCTGCACCCCACAATACAATCCCAAACCCCCCCCCCATCGTTCATTTAATTAGTTCCCACGAAATGGAAAAAAAAACTCGTGCTTTGAAGCTGTTGTCTTTCTTCTTCAGTGACACACATACAACCACATCTAACAAACAAACATGGCACGCAAATGCATGAATGAATAGAAAGTAGTAGATTTTCCAACTTTATTTTGAAAACGAGAAAAAGTACATTTCAAAACACTCTACAACAACGCCAGAAGGAGAAGGAAAATGGGACGAATCAGATGAAGAAGAAGGAGAAAAGTCTTAGTTACAACTAAGTACAATTCAGTAAATTATAATATATATTTTTATTTTTATAATTGTTTAATTATTAAAACGAAAAAAAAACAGAAAAAGAGAGAACTACGTTAGGAAAGACTAGATATGAGTTAGGATATAATGCAAATATTGACATGCCTGTGTGATAATAGTTTATAATCTTGTCATTATCTGTATTTATATCTCCCTCAAGAAGAAAAATTAACTATAGTTTTTTTTTGTGTAAAATATACGTTAAATAATATGAAAACTGAACCAATATTATTGCATAAAGATTATATTTTTATAACTTTTTTACTCTTATTTCTATTCGATCGCAAGAGCCGCCGTAATTCAATTTTTTTTTTTTTGGTTTCAACAGCCAACTTGAGTTAAAAAAAAAAACAAACACAAACATACTGACAAACATACATATACAATACAAACACACCCCGTCAAACGCAAATCAAAATAGCCGTAATATTACACACCAAATCCGCCGTTTATTTTAGAAAAGCTGTTGACAGCCGACAGTTCAATGTTTATATTTATCACTCACTCTCACACTCAAATACAGAGAAGTCACACCGTTGTTTTTCCTGTTACAAACTTCAGTGTTATATACAAACAGTCATATTATCTTATTATTTTATACACACTCACGAATCAAACAATAGATCGCACTACTCCCCCCCCCCCCCCCACGCCCTAAATATTTATACATATATACACTCACCTTTCCCTTGCCAAACACAAACACACACACCGAATACAATTAAAACTCCCGAGAGAAAAACAACCGCAGTGAACCAGCGCAACCATGGAAACAGCAAAACAAACAAAACAACAACCTCCCGCCCAGCCACTCTGACAGATGGACAAACATACCGACACACGCAAAACCCAAACCGATCAGAAAAGGGTATTTTTTTTGCGAGCGCATACCTTTTTCCGTAGGCCCCACCCGCGGCCCCTTGAAATCGCACGTAAGAGTTTATGAATTAAAATTAAACAAACAAACAAAAAGTCGTAAATTCAGACAGTAGAATCAAAAGTCTTTTCAAATAAAATACACACACACACATACACACATACATGAAAAAAACAACAACAACAAGAGAAAGAAGAACTACCTCAGAAACTTATTATAATGGAATGAAGACGAAGTGAATGATTAATTTAAAAATAAAGAAACAAACTAATAACTATAACAAGAAAAAAAAATCTAAGACGATGGAAGGAGGAAGCGAAAAAAATCCTATATATTAAATGTAGTTTGTATTTATATAATGGAAAGCAGCAACTCTGAATTGAAACACGCAAAAACTCTTTTGATCAGCAACAACAACAACAACAACAACTAGAAGAAGAATAAAATGAAGAAGCAACAGTAGTAGCTGGATGAAAATTAAACCACTTACCATTTTGATTTGTTTTCGCTCTGATTAAAAAAAAATTGACAGCAACAACATCCGGAAGCCGCTGTGGAAATTTAAAAAAAAAAATCTGTCAGAAAAACGAAAATATCCAATACGTTGGTTACTACGATTGTTTTCATTTGATCATTTGTTGCTACCAAAAGCGCGGAATAGTCAGCAGTCAGAAACTCAACCGCGTGGGTTGAGCTGAGATGCTTCTTGGACCAATCTTTCAATCGAGAAGCAGCCGAGCAAACCGAAAAAAAAATAATTAATAAAAAGTCAAAAAGCCCGAATTCCATAATTTCAAAATTTACTACCACTGTTAGAAAACAAACCTTTTTCGGCAACTCACGCATGCACACGTGCACTCTTACACACACACACACAGCCACATACCAGCCCCTACCAACCCCCCCACCATACCACACAATCAAACCGTTAAAGCAGATTTAAACAAGCGAAATAAGATAGAGCGCGAGAGATAGAGAGGAAAAAAAAAACAAGCGGAAGAAGAAAGAGAAGAAAATCACCAAAAAAATCGTAAAATTGCGGAAAAATTAAAAGAAATCTATACATAAATA